TACCGGACTGCGCCTCAACATTCCATCATCTGCAATTGAGGTCATCAACTACTACACTACTCCCTGTGGTATGCTCCCAGCGATGCCAAGAAGCAAAAAAAGAAAAATTCGAGAGGGAATGGACATGGTCTCGGCCTTTGCTATGGCCTCTCAGCGCTATCCCACTATCACTTTTCCCTCCCAATGGTGGTCAGACTGCTATCCCTAAGTAGAAGTAATACATACACATCACATTCATAGACGAGGAAAAAATGGAACTTCGGTATTCGTAACTTAAGGGACCTTTCTGTCAAACCGGAACCCTCCCACCCGATTGGCATGCACCTGCTATACGCCCAGATGCATACCCACCACTCTCAAGGCTTGAGAACCACTTCCAGAGGCAAGTAAACAAGATCTGAACACCCCCTGTCACAGCCTTAAGCGCATGCTACGCAATGATGTTATCGCACTAATGGCAAACCCCTTTCCAGGGATCCAGGCTCAAGCCGCCGCCGCCTTCGTAAAGCTTGCTGTGTAATTATTGATCAATACTATGCCTTTCCTAATGCATCCCACAGAGAAAGATCCATCTTCCACGCCCTTGATACGACACCCTCTGCCTCGGCCGATTGTCAACTCAGAATACCTTCCGAACTTGCTATTCTTGGTTAGAAGATCATCGTCCTTTTCCCGCCATAACTGAATTCATGGCGTTTTGATCGCTTGAACTCAACCTCCCTTGCCAACCCCACCACTACGGTAACCAAGGCAACGGATAGGAACCCTTTTGGGCCAAGACACAATTATCTATATTCGTAGTTCCTATGATGCTGGGCCGTCTTGCCGTGTTCTATGAGTACAGGCCAACCAAATGTAGCTTAGTTGCTCCATGCGCCTATCTTAACTTTCATTCAGAGCCGCCGTCAACTGCATCACAGCTTCTGGTATTCCAGCTTGCCCTCAAGCTTCTTGGCCTCCGCAACCTTGCGGACAGCGCTGTTGAAATCGTCCTGGCTGATCGACTCTCGCTCGTCCTTGATGGCTAACAGCCCACTATTTTTACCTCGTTAGTGATATGTCAAAAAAAGTATCTGAGTGATGTCAGCAGAGAGTAGCTATAAACTTACGCTTCGGTCACCACGTTTCTCAGATCGGCACCATTCAAGCCATCGCTCATCTTCACCACGCTCTCGAAATCGAGCTCTCCATCAACTACAACGCTAGCAGCGTGGATCTTGAGAATTTCTAGACGCCCAACCTCGTTGGGCAGGGGAATCTCGAGCTTGCGGTCCAGGCGACCGGCACGCAGGAGAGCGGGATCAAGGGTATCTGGCCGATTCGTAGCCATGATGATCTTGGTCTTTCCGAGATAGTCAAAACCGTCCAACTGGTTAAGCAGCTCCATCAATGTGCGCTGGATTTCTCGGTCTGCACTAGTACCCTCAGAGAATCGTCGCCCACCAATAGCATCAATCTCGTCCATGAAAATGATACAAGGCTCGTGTTCCTTGGCGTATCCGAACATTTCACGGATCAGTCGAGCCGACTCTCCGATGTACTTGTCCACGATGGCGGAAGAAACGACTATTCTCGTATTAGCAGTAGCCCTCTGAGGATGACTAAGTGTAGTTCTTACCCTTCAGGAAGTTGGTCTCCAAGCTACTAGCTACAGCCCTTGCTAGCAGAGTCTTTCCTGTGCCTGGGGGTCCGTAGAGCAACACGCCCTTGGGGGGCTTGATGCCTACTCTGAGGAACAATTCGGGGTTCTTCAGTGGTAGCTCGATAACCTCACGGAGTTCTCGGATCTGGTCATTCAAACCACCGATACCGGCAAAGCTGACTTGTCCCGGGTCCTCAAGAGACATGTTGTAGACCAGAGGATCAACCTCGCGAGGCAGCATTCGCATGATTGTGAGGGTCGTCATATCGAGTGCCACACGTGTGCCCTGCTTCAACTTGACCTTGTCCACCTTTGATCTGCATCCGACGACGTATCGGGGTCCGGACGACGCCTTAACGATGACTAGATTTGGCATTGTCAGTACCGAGTCACATGTCGTTACTCGTTGGGAGCCTTCTCTCCCAACTGGGGTGGGGATCCATACATCTCTCATCGTCGAGTTGCTTCAACACCTCTCCTATGATCTGGCCTACGCTTTGCAGCGCTTTGATGTTGTCCTCGGTCTTGTCGAACTCTTTTTGGAGGTCCTTGATCTCTAGTCGTAAGCTCTTCAGCTTTGACTCCCACTCGCGGGACTCGATGAGCTTGGCCCGGTACGAGTTGAGGGCGGCTTGGCGCTCTTCCTCGGGAGTCATTGTGTCGACTTCGATGGGATGCTACACTTCCGTATTCTGTGCCTACTCGGTGCGTTCTGGCGGGAAGTCGTCGATAGTCGCTAGAGGTCTTGGTTGGGAAGGTGTTGCTGGAAGATTCGTCGCCGTTCGTCGTCTTGGTGTGGATGTTGTAGAGCTTACCTCATGCGCTGTAGCCTTGGGCGAGCTACCTTGCATGGGTCCGGTTGAAAGTCGGAAGTGGAGAAGACCAAACCGCCCTGATCGTAAAAGAGCACATGCTTCCAACTACTACGTCGTATATATAACCTAAAACATTTGAGCTTTCGAGGATTTATTTACTGTATATTTCCGGGGCTCTTTCTTTTGCAGTTCATTCTTTGTTCCCTTTTCTCACCTTTTTTAATTGCTCACTCTTCTCCCGACACGAGAATTTCCATTCGTTGTACTTCTATTGCTACCCTAAACTGCACCACACAAGCTATCCCCAGTAACAGCAGGACGTCTTATTACACATCATACATGCAATCAGTATCTTAAATATGTCCTTTGTGAAAATTTGTTGCTTGAACACTGTGGCTCGCAATGGTTATTGTTTGTTTAATCACCTACCTCACGAGGCTTCTCGTATGTGCCATGAAAAGAGAGGCAGGTGCTTTAGATAGGTATCTTCAGAAGAAATCTATAGAAATAATTCACATATTTAGATTCGATACTCAAAAGCGAGAACTACCTATATCCTCGGAGTCCGAGTCACATAGATAACTAGGGAGCGAATGTAGTATCAACCGACAAATATCCTTCCAAGTGATGCGTTTGCATGTGAGGTTCCCACCCGCCGAACTGCCACCATCAACCCATACTAGTTGAAAGTAGTGTTCGGAAGGAGAGCAGCTATAGAGGGCTGCGTGGGTATTCGTATATAGTAGACATGATCATAAGTTTCGATGCGCGGTATAGACAAAATCAATGCTGGCCGCCAGATGCTTTTGGTTTATCCCCGGTCATACGCCGAAGCGTTTCACTCCTTCTTGTCGTCGCCGTTGCCGGCCGAGCCCTCATCGCCCTTCTGCCGTGGCTCCCCATCTGCATCGAAGCCGAGAGCCTCGAGCTCGCGCACCAGCTCGTTGATTTTGATAACCTTTGCGATCTGCTCAGGGAGCAGAGACTCTCCTCCCTCCTTCTTGCTTTGTAGGTCCTTGGCTTGCTTCAGCTTCTTCTTAAGATTTCTGGCTTTCTTTTCCTTCTCGACCTCGGGGTCGACCTCGTCAGCCTTCGGTTGAGTTTCGGAGTCCTTGGTTGCGCCCTCTGTTTCGCCTTCACCATCAGCAGCCTTGGCCTTCCGCCGGGCCTCGCGCCTCTTTGCGTTCTTATTATTCGAAGAAGAAGCCTGCTGCGCGGGTTGGCTTTCCTCCGTACTGGCAGCCCCAGGGATTCCTACTCGGCGGCCGCGCTCACGGAATGCCTCAGCAGTCCGGTTTTTGTAGACCTCGACATCCTCGGGAGGGCGGTACCCAGGCCGGATCTTTATGGCTTTGCGAGTACTTCCGTCGGCACGTACTGACTCGGGAATGTGACGCTGGCCGCTCTCTCCATCAGTGACGATGCCCGAATTCGACGGTTGGTCGGGTTGGGTAGGTTGGGATGGCATTTTGAATAGGTGCAAATCTTGTGATTTTCTGGTCGCGAGAAGGGGCTCCCGTCCCTGTTCGAGACGCTTGAGTTATCGCCTGCGAAGCCGCAGGGCCGCGAAAAGCGAATACTGTTTGACTAGATATCGACCGATTTCCTTTGGAAGCTTGGAAGGTGTAGCTTGTGTGTCTCTCACCCCACCATCACCGAGTTCCAAAGGCCCCACATCGCTTTAGCTCTTAGGCTTGCTCAGATGGCAGATACCTACTTACTGCTTGCAATGCGAAAAGAGCTGGATGTTATGATAATTAGAATTGCGAGAGAGTTCTTGAGCGAAGTACAGGAAGCCACAACACTTTGTACTCTGGGTGTTTACCATGCACCTCAGGATAGCATGAAGGTCGCGTGCTTAGCGATTGAAAGCCTTTCACGAGGTACCAGTAGGAAAGTAAGACGAGAATCACGAAAGATACAACACCTTCTTTTTCTCTTTGGAAATAAAACCGCTGAGACGATACACAGTTTACGGAGATAGGTTGGTTATACCGTTATGAATGCAAGGTTGGCTCATAGACTGATTTCGGGCTCGGGTAGAACGAGGACATTTAGACTTGGACTCTGTCAGAGTGTTTGGTAATGCCATATGACGTGTCGCCTTTACTCATAAACACAGGAATGATATTAGGTCGGATTCGTTCAACAAGAAAGTCATAGGCGCAACATTGCAACAGAAGCTCTGCGCGGGTCAAGGGGAAATAAATGTGAATGAACTCCTAGTGGGGCGGCCTGATTACCGTGGCCAATCAGCGCAGATCTAATACTGTCCCGGAACTTCGCGATTTTCCCGTCACCGGCCTTGCCTGCAACTTCGACTAAACCCTCATCATCACAATCCCGATACCTCAGCCCGATCGCCAGCAGTCTTGAAGCTGTCAATTATACCCAATCGGCAAAATGGTGAGCAGAAACCAACACGGATATCTCATACGAACCCAATAGCCGCTAACCGCGTGATATTCCTCATAGTCTCTCGGAAACCAGCTCTACAGGCAAGCGCCCTTTGCCCGACATTCAAATGGCCACCAGCCGTCACGATGACCCTCATACTGACATTCGATTCTCAGCACCCTCTTCAAGAGGAATTACGCCTTCCTGGGAGCAGTCTTTGGCGCTGGCTTCGCCTTCGAATTGTATGCGATGGGACACCAAACTGGGCTAATGAGGGTTATGCTAATGCCGTTCACAGGGGCTTCAACGGCATCATGAACAAGGTCTGGGACGCAAACAACCGAGGCGTACGTTTTCCATATCCCCATACGAATCGACCGCCTCGAATACTGACAATTGGGGAATCTAGCGCCAATGGAAGGATATCCGCCACAAGTATGTTGCGGATGCTGAGGAGGACGAAGAATAGAAGATACGCGCTGCTGTCGAACAGACTGGGAACGCAGGTTCTCTGTGTCTGAATACTTGTACAAAATGTTTTTAGAAGAGACGATACTGGCGAACCAAACAAGCTTCTTTGTCACCGAAAGATAACACCCGACCTGTGATTGTTGGAACCCTCCGCCCTACGGGCATGGAAATTCTTGCCAGCATTTTCCTTTGAGCCAACCGAATGTCTGTAGAATAGGATGAGGAAACTGTCGACGACAACGGATGCGCAGGATAGTTCCTCTCCGAGAGTTCCATGGCATGAATGACGTGTTTGTAGTTGGTCACGTCGTAAGCGTCTACAATGCGTGTGTTGTTGATTGCCACTTGGGCGCCCATGTATTCAATGCTTACAACTGCCTTGTAGGCACCCACATCTTGAATGCAGGATGCCTTACACGGCTCGAGTAATCGAGTGTGCTGTTGAGCAGCATGTGAATGCCTGCCTATTCATGATTACCTACTGACGCTTATGTCAATGTGGTGGGTGCATAATTTAGCTGATGGCTCAAGCAGGTGGGTGACATAAAACATGGCCCATGAGCAGCATTTTCTGACGGACAGATAAGAAACTGAATGGTATAAGAGGCAATAAAATCCCAAGACAATGCATTCAAATATCAAGCGAGTATCACGGTTGTGTTAATAGAATAGAGGAGGACTCGCTATAGGTAACCTGTTGCACGTTTTATGTCGCCCACTTACTCGTTTTAGTGGAACCGAGGGGCAGGTTCCACGAGGTACCTCTTTCTTAGCTGTTGGTGCTCCCTTCCCACAAGTACCGTCACCTGGTAGAAGGTGCTAGCTGCCCGACAGATCTGTTGCTCAATCACACTTTCATCTAAGCACGGTAGATTACGGTGTCGCCTCACCAGGACCTGCGAATATCGAACTTAGCTCTTCCTTTTGTTCAACCTGTGGCTCTCTCACCGGACCCTGAACGCGATACACGCTATTCTATATCTCGCTGTATGTTGGATTAAGCAGCCCCAGTGACCTCACGTCCCCATCACCGTCTACCCCCACCTAAGCAGCTACTAATCACTGCTCCCATCGACACAGATCTTATCTACAACTCGAACGTGTAAACGTTCTTCAACAGCCTACCGACCTACAGCCAGAACGACCGATGGACTCCGACCATTCCTGAAGGAAGCCACAACATGATCACCTGAAGGATGGAGATTCCGATGTCTACACAAGAGCAGCAGCTCTGCCAATTTCTAGCGGAGCTGCCTGCTCAATGCAACTATCGATTTGATAAGGATGCTGCTCGAAAGCTCCTAACCAACCTCTTTTGGTCGCTAGCTGGTGGAAATGATGAGTACATGCGGCTATTCTTCCCCGATGGGAGACTGCCTGAGAGCTTAAAGCTCAGTGACGCACAGGGTGCGGTCGAGGGCGCCGAGTATACCGAAGCCGCCCGGGGCAAGCGATGCGGGCATATCTTCAAGCCCGGCGAGGCATCCTACATGTGCCGTACTTGCGGTACCGACGATACATGCTGCCTTTGTAGCCGCTGCTATGATTCGACAGACCATATTGGCCACATGGTACGGATGCACATTTCAGTCGGCAATAGTGGGTGCTGCGACTGTGGTGACGATGAGGCCTGGAAGACGCCTCTTTTCTGCACCATACACTCGGATCTCGAAGCTGGGCCACATAAAGGCAAAGAGAAGGAGGCTGCTGGTTTGCCCGAAAATCTGGTTGCAAACCTACAAATGACCATTGCAAGGGTTTTCGATTATATCTGCGACGTAATCTCTTGCTCACCAGAACAGCTACGGCAGTCCAAGACCGAAGAGTCGGTCTTGAAAGATGAGGAAATGTCCAGGCTTTCATCAAAGTACTACGGCTCCACGGCCGAGCCCTGCAACGAGTTCTCGCTCATCCTTTGGAACGATGAGAAGCACACCGTGGAGGAGGTCCAGGATCAGGTCGCGCGAGCGTGCCGAAAGCGACGTAGGGAAGCGCGGCAGGACGCTTGGGAGACTGACGCCGTCGGTCGCTGTATCTTGGTCACTCTTCCTGATGTGCCTAAGTTGCTACAGATGGCCAAGATAATTGAGGCTATTAGGACTACAGTCACTATTCGATCAGCCAGAGATACGTTTCGCGAGCAGATGTGTGGCACTCTTGTCGAATGGCTGAGCGATATTGCTGGCTGTGCTGTTGGCCATGATAATCATATACTTAGGAGCACCATCTGTGAAGAACTCATGCGACCATGGCGCCAAGGAAGCTCGGCAACCCATACCTCTGGTCTGATTGATGATGAAGACCAGGACTTCCAGGACTTCGAGTCTCGGTTGAATGGCATCAACATCCGTTTCTTCCTGGCACTGCGTGCTGCAGCGGACACTAGGCCTGTCGACTTCGAATTCGAGGTTGAGGATGACGATGACGATGATGCAGATGGAGATGACGCTATGGGAGATGAGGAGCAAGGTTCTCATATGAGCTCCACCGGTGAGACCGACGATGAGGAGGATGCGATGATGGTGGATGCTAGAGAAGATGTTGGTGACCTGAACATGAACTGGAGTCAGTCAGACCAGGCCCTCGAAGAAGATGAGGCTACCATGGCGGGCTATCCGCCACCACCTCCTCCGCCTGCCGCGAATGCCCGTGGTTCGGCCCGTGAGCGGGATGCTACACCTTCTGACTCTGACACGGGCGCCGAGCCTCTAATTGCACCCGCCATCTACGCAAAAGCTAATGCCGATATCCCCAAAACCCCAGGTCGCACCGAGAAGCTCACGCCCAAACCCGGGCGGTATTGGCTGGAGACCCCCTCGCTTTACACACAGCGAAACTATTCCCACCCTGCGGAAGATGTCTTTCAACGTGTCCGTCTTGATTGGCTCTTGCTATTTGATCTCCGCATGTGGAAGAAGGTCCGGATAGATCTACGGGCTCTCTATATATCCACCGTGGTGCAAGTTCCCGAATTCAAACGGCTTCTCGCCTTACGATTTGCGAGCCTGTACACGATCCTAGCTCAGCTTTATCTGGTGGGGGATAGAGAGCCCGACCATTCTATTATCAACCTGTCTCTTCAGATGTTGACAACACCGTCCATTACTGCCGAGATTGTCGAGCGAGGGAACTTCATGAGTAGCCTGCTGGCTATTATTTATACATTCTTAACCACAAGGCAAGTGGGGCACCCTTGGGATGTTTCTCCTGACGCCGTGTTGGCCTTTGAGAGCGGTTCAGTCACGAACCGACGGATGTATCACTTCTATCAAGATCTCAAGTTTCTCTTTGGCTCTCCCCATGTTCAGGAGCGCATTCGATATGAACCGCGGTACCTCATGCAGTTCTTGGACTTGGTGAAACTCCATCAAGGCATTGGGCCAAACATTCGTGCCGTCGTGGAGCATGTCGAGTATGAGGCCGACTCGTGGATTACGGCTTCGCTGGTTACCCGGCAAATCAACATCCAAGCTCGAAGCCTTGCGGAAGCGTTCCGAAATTTCCCGGCTGATGACATACAGTACTTGCAAAAGGCAATCAGGTTCACGGCCAAAACAGTTATTCTCAGCTCAATCGGCGCGGAACGGCACAGATTTAAGCAATCTGAGATCAAAGACGAATTGAAATTCAAGAATATAGGTGATTTCGATCTCACTGGAGATGACAGGTCTTTTGATGTCATCAAATTTGTGGTCGAAAAAGAGCATATTAGTTTCCACCACGCACTGCATTACACTCTATCTTGGCTTGTGGAATGTGGCCGGTCCATTCCCGCCTCGACTATGAGGACACTATTGAGCTTTACCACTCAAGAGCTTCGACCCAAAAACAAGCTAATGGGTAGACTACATATGCCAAAGGACGACTACGGACCAGAGGATTATTTAATGGCTGCATTGGACTTCCCTCTTCGGGTTTGTGCTTGGCTGGCCCAGATCAAGGCGAATATGTGGGTGCGGAATGGTATCAGTTTGCGGCATCAAGCCAGCACTTACAGGGGTGTCAGTCAGCGAGATGTTTCTCATCATCGCGATATATTCCTTCTCCAAACTGCCCTGGTTATTTGCAACCCGGAACGTGTTCTGGCATCTGTGATTGATCGTTTTGGAATGGGGGGTTGGGTCAAAGGACTTTTTGAGCTGAAGTCCGAGGCCCAGGATGATAATCAGCACCTCGATATCGTTGAGGATATGCTGCATCTGCTCATTGTGCTTCTGAGTGATCGTGTTACGCTCAGCGCGCCGGAAGACGAACCAAACTCGAGACTTCTCGCGATGCGCCGCGACATTACGCACGTACTGTGCTTCAAACCCCTCTCGTTCAATGAAATCTGCAATAAACTTCCCGAGAAGTACCAAGAGGCGGAGGACTTTGCAGATGTTTTGGATGAAATGGCCACATTCAAGTCTCCGGAGGGGGTGTCTGACGTCGGAACATTTGAACTGCGCTCCGAGTATATCGAAGACATCGATCCTTACATTGCTCATTACAACAAGAATCAGCGGGAGGAATCAGAGCTAATATACCGCAAAAAGGTAGCTATCAAGACGGGCAAGACACCCGAAGATATTGTGTACGAGCCAAAGCCACGCCCTATCCCATCTGGACTCTTCAAGGACCTGGGCGCATTCACAAGCACTGGAGTTTTCGCACAAATTATTTACTACTGCTTGCTATACCCCCTCACCCATGAGAAATGGACGCCCACGATTCCCTCTACGAGATTGGAAACATACCTACAAGTTGTTCTCCACCTAATCCTGATTGCAATTCATGAAGACAAATCCAACGAGGAGATGAGCGAGGCGCCCACACAATCTTTTGTGCAGATTGCTTTGACGCGCACTGCCCGCACTAACTTTCTGACAGATGACCGCTCTCAGAGGACAATCGTAGCACTCCTGAATATGCTTTCTGCCAGGGAAGAATACAAATCCGCTCACCCCAAGATATCTTTGGCTCTTAAACGCCTGAAGCAACGGCGCCCACATGCTTTCGACGGGGCATTAATTAACATGGGTCTGTCAATCGACCGCGTCAATACCGCTTCTCCTGCCACCAACTCAGTAGAAGAAGAGCGCGAGCGAAAGAAGAAGGCAGCCTTGAGCCGGCAGGCCCGAGTGATGGCTCAGTTCCAACAACAACAGAAGAGTTTCATGGAAAATCAAGCAGACATCGATTGGGGATCTGATTTAGAAGACGAGGACGATGAAGTTGAGCAAGCAGCAGAAGAAGACCGTACCCACAAATGGAAGTATCCTACTGGTACCTGCATACTCTGCCAAGAAGACGCCGACGAAAGGCGCCTATACGGTACCTTTGCGTTACTACATGAGAGCAGAATCCTTCGCCAGACAGACTTTCAGGACCCAGATCTGGTCAGAGACGCTTCCCAAACGCCTTGTAATCTCGATCGCTCTGCGGAAGACATTCGACCCTTTGGGATTGCTCATGAGAATCGGAAAATGGTAGAGAAGCTGAACACTAAGGGAGAGCCGTTTCTTGCCGAGAGACAGACGATCGGACGAGGTTTCCCATCCAGCCTATGCTCTTCCGGAGCGGTTGCTAGCGGTTGTGGACATATGATGCACTTCGATTGCTTCGAACTTTACTATGAAGCCACCAAACGACGCCATACACACCAAATTGCTCGTCACCATCCCGAGGACATTAAGCGTAACGAGTTCGTTTGCCCTCTTTGCAAAGCTCTCGGCAACGCTTTCCTTCCTATTGTCTGGAAAGGGCTGGAGGAATCCTATCCCAGCTATCTCCAGTCGCAAATCAGTTTCCAAGGCTTTCTTGATAAGCATATGGGAGCGGCTTATTCATTTGGGGATAGCAAGGCCCGGGAAGCGAGTGAACAGACAACCCCTGAAATTATTACTCCAAGCTTGCCTGGCAGCTTGGTCGAGTCGATGGTACGATCCGGGCCGCTCTCTGATGCAACGTGGGGAGGAGACTCAACGGAGGTCAGCACCCCAAGAGCCGAGACCCCTCAGAGTTCGACATTCTCCGGAAATGGCCAAGAAGCGAGCACGAGTACGTCAGCTTCTTCATCCCGACAGCTCTTGTCTGCCTACCGACGACTACGTGACACTATTCGAGACAATGGGCTGCCGACTAGACATCCTACCGAACCGAATTCTGAAGGTTCAGAACAACTCTGCTTCAGTGATGTCCTCGTTCAAGCCGTAGGGTTTTCTATCTCATCCACCGAGATTCAGCAACGTGGTGTCGAGGCTCAGACTGGCATGACGCTCTTGGAGAAGATCCCAGAGCAAGTTTTAACACATCTTCGGATTCTGGCCGAGACGGCTTCTTCGTTTATTTCTGTAGGAACTCAAAACTCACCACATGATAAGATTGTGCAAGAGTTTTACAAAGACAGCGAGAGGCAGCACTGTCAATTATTCATGTCCAGATATTTTGGCTTGCCCACGCCTCACGCTCGACGGCCCTTGGATGTATATCCCCCTCTACTGAGCACTGATTCTTTTCTCTTCCTGGTAGAGTGTTCATACGGATTTGCCCCTGCACAAGCTGCAGAGATATCTCATGTGCTAAAGATTTGCTACCTCGCCGAGATTGTTAAAGTTGTTTTCCACATGGGCCAGAATATTCCGTTCGAGAAATGGGCGAGAACGCTTCAACACAACGGGTCTCAGGATCCAGCTATAAAAAACTTCGCCGAGTTCGCTCTCGAGATTACAAAGGAGAGTATCGAGATTCAAGCTATGGCGACAGTTACACCATCAGGCGACGAAGCAAATCTTGGTTTCGATCAACGTGGCGTCGATACTCTAGAGGGCTGGTATACGCTTACCAAGAAATACGCCTTGACATTTTTGAGAAAGAGTCTTCTATTTCTCAATGTCAAATATGGCGTTGACTTCAACAACCGTGTATCTCCTAACCCTGAGGCGGATGAGCTCGATCGCCTGACTGAGATCTTGCGACTACCTTCTTTCGATGAGATGTGTGCTTCCTTTACATCGAATGCGTCCGCCTGCAATTGGCCGGATAGAACCAGGCCTCTTATCGCTGGCTGGATCAAGCACCAAGTTCTGTGGCCTCGTAGCAATCCTGAGACGCCTAGATCGGCCATGGTTAGCCATCCGGGCATCTTTGAGTTGGTTGGACTACCCAAGGTTTACGACACATTGATCGAGGAGGCCACCAGGCGGAAGTGCCCAACAACGGGCAAGGACGTGACAGACCCTGTGATTTGCTTGTTCTGTGGAGATCTCTTCTGTAGCCAGGGGACTTGCTGCCAAAGACCAACGCCAGGATCTGAGCGCGCGGAAAATTCACGACTTGGCGGTGCGCAGCAGCACATGCAAAAGTAAGTTGATGTTTACACATCCTTCTCCGTAGTAGGAGAAAGTGACTGACCACTTGGAAATTTGACACAGGTGCCAACGCAACATCGGAGTGTTTCTTAATGTTCGCAAATGCTCTACCATCTACCTCTTCAGATTATCGGGATCATTCACAGCAGCCCCTTACATTGACAAATATGGCGAGACGGATCCACAGCTCCGTCATGGGCGACAGCTGTATTTGAACCAGAAACGATACGATTCAATGATCCGTAGCACTGTGTTGAATCACGGAGTGCCGAGTCTGATCAGCAGGAAGCTGGAAGCGGAAATTAACAATGGTGGCTGGGATACTCTTTGAGAGAATAGGGCACTTTCTTCTGTAATAAATACATTTGGAAACCATGTGCGAATGTGTCCTGGCACACGAGGAGAGCTGAAGGAAGCACTCTGTTTGGGAAACGCAGGCTATGAGCAACAATGAAGAGAATTATGAAATACTGATGATGAATAGATTACCCACGAGTTGGCCACGCTCTGGCCAATGTGTCAGGCAGATTGACAGAATAATTATTATTATTACCCCTTGTTCTACCCGTAATAACCATCGTGCCTCATCTCAGGTGTCGTCTTTGATGCGAATGTGGCTTGCAATTGTGGCTTCTGTGGCGCGACGTACAGTGTATGTGTACACAGTGCATTCATGATATGCACTGTATGTAGGCATCGAAAAGGGCCAATCAGAGCTGGCAGGCCGTGCGAGGCGGCACGCGTGTCGGGACTGACCACAGGAAACCGTAATTGTAGTTCTGTCTGTCTGTATCACACAGCGACTTTCCCGTTCTTCTGCTGCCGACGCTCTGATCATACCATATTCCATATCTAGAACTGCTCAAATACCAGGCCTTGCGGTCAAAAAATGGCTCCTGGGCGTCGTTCAGGCCGAGCAGCCGCCAAGCGAGCTGCGGCTGCCCTTGGTAAGCGCGATCCATAGACGTGACTGTGAAGCGACTTGTTTGCCTGGTTGACGGACTGGAGCTGCCTCCGCCCTCTGGCTATCGTTGCTTCATGTTCTGTCCTTCCAACACCATCGTACCTGTTTTTCAAATCCCTCACCCGAACGTGGTGTCTGTGACCGACGTCTAGTGGTGCCTTCCTATTTCCATCACACTTGAATTTTTCCCCAGTGGATTTTTGCCCAGTTCAACTCACCCTTCATCACCTCGTCACGAACACCACCTACCCAAGCGCTCGCTTGGCCCGCGCTCTTACAATGGCCCCTCGTACGACGATCCGTCTTAAGCTAACGCGCGCAACCAATTCTACAGAGACCGCGCCAAAAGGGTTCGAAGACATCCCGGACGAGCCCATGCCCGATGCTGATGCCAATGGGGACGCCGACGCGCAACACTCCGAGCACGAAGAACCAGCCGAGGACCCAGCTGATGATGACGACGACGACGCTGATGATCAGCCCAAGGCGGGCGAGTCTGGAGATGAAGCCGAGAACAAGGACGATGCCGAATCCGAGGCCAAGGAACCCTCACCACCACCACAACCTGTTGTGCGCAGGAAGCGCCTCGGGCGGCCACCTAAGAACAAGCCCCCTGACTGGGATCCTATGATCACAGTGCCTGCAGATGAGGTTCGCGACACGCCCAGACGGCGGGGCCGTGGTGGTTGGAGGGGGCGCGGCGGTCGCAAAGGCGGACCTGCTGCGCCCAAGGCAGAACAAGTTATCGACGCTGAGGGCACAGTTGCCGAAATCGCCGACGATGAATGCGTCCTGCCCGAAGATCCAGAGGGAGAGGAGAAGGTGGACAAGCTGGGCAACCTACAAGGCGGGAGGGACTACCGCTGTCGCGTCTTCACCGTGCTGGGACGAGGGAACAGACTCTACATGCTGTCGACGGAACCAGCACGTTGCGTCGGTTTCCGAGACAGTTACCTGTTCTTCACAAAGCACAAGAAGCTACACAAGATTATTGTGGACGATGACGAGAAGCGCGATATGATTGAGAGGGATATCATTCCTCACTCATACAAGGGACGCTCAATAGGAATCGTCACTGCGCGGTCCGTCTTCAGAGAATTTGGTGCGAGGATCATCGTCGGCGGAAAGCGCATCATCGACGACTACGGCGTCGCCCAAGCCCGTGCCGATGGTGTTGTCGAGGGCGCTCTGGCTGACCCCGACGACCACTTCATCCCCGGGGAGCCATACAACAAGAACCAGTACGTCGCATGGCACGGCGCCAGCGCGGTCTACCACACGAATGTTCCTACTGTTCCTGTCCCCAGCGGCAAGCCCGAATACAAGAAACGCAAGGTGAACGTCAACGACCAGAACTGGATGCTTGAACATGCTCGAGAAGCAAGGTATGGTCTTATCAAATAATCTGCATTGGAGAAACCTGAGGCAAGAGCCTGTGCTAACTGCGCCTCGCAGCATATTTAACGCTGGCATCAATGCCATCCGGAAACTAAACAATGCAGGTGTCTACGATATTCACACTAATGTTATGCAATATCCCACTGTGATGCAGCCTACACAGGCTCGTATCGAGCAAGTTACACCAGAAGAAGAGAATGCCCAAGATACAGGCTCCTTCCCCCCGGTGCCGTTGAGGATGGCCAGGAATTTCTTCGTCACGGACACAGTTCTCGAGACACCACCAACTGGCCTCGCATCGGCTGTGTATGACAAGGCAGACCAGACTGACTTCCTGTCATCATTTAGTGGCTTGGGCGCTGTATCAGATGACATCCGGGCTCTTCTTCCTGCTGAGTGCCGCAGTGCATTTGACAGTGCGGTCGAGCAGGAGAATCAATGGAAATCAAGATGGGGACCTGAAACCAGCAATACGTGCCGGCGGGACCCCATCATCGACAAGGCAATCGTTCCCTGAGGCATCTTCTAGAACCCAGCCTCCCAATGCGGCTCGGATGCATGGAAAACGGCAATGGGGAGGAAGTTAAGCCACTGGGCTTTTTAATTGTCATGTATAGATGGTGAGATTCGTTTTATTTTGGGCGAAGGTTTTCACTCATGGAGAGGCAGTGCTATGCTATTTCGTTTTTATCAATTGCCAGGATGAGACCGGCGTTTTGGGCGCAGTTTGAGGCTGGCTCACCCTACCTACCTACCTACCTTCCAACCTTTTGCACAGATGGAGCGCGAGAAAAAAATATGCATTTGTTCTAATTTGAATTCTGACTCTACGTCCTACGGCGCGTCATGAGTTGGGGTGTATCCTTGCCGCCCTCGGACTCCCCTCTTCTCCTTCGCTTCTGACCCTTGACCCTGAGACACTGAGTGACCAGCTACAGCTGACCCCCAAGTCCCCCTTTCTCCCCGCAGCAGCATCGTCAGTCAACCGGAAGGTGTTATGTGTTACAACTTGTCTGGTCGGAGCTTCTCCCCCTCCCACCCCTCTCTCTATTGTACTTCCAGAAGCGGGTGAGCGGAGCTCCCCCCGTAACGCGATTTGACATGCACGACTACCATTTAGCGACGAGCCCTTTAGGAAGGATTCAGTTATGACGGAGAGAGAGGGAGAGAGGGATGAATGACAAGACGAGAATTTCACGAGCTTGCTTCTCCCCCACAACAGGCGGAGGGGAGTCAACCACCACCAGAATGTGATACGCTGCAGCAGCGCCGGACCCTCCCCGTCCTGCGGGTGTACCTTGGCGGAGGCCACCCAGTCACGGTATTCTTAGGGGACCATGCGCTGGTGTGTGGGCTTGGCTGGATGGCTGGGCCCTTGGCCCTCTGGCACATGCGTACAGTACGCCGGTGCGGCGCTGTGCGTGGTATGTAGGTAGCACCGCTTCGGTGATGGTGTTGCATGTAAGTGGGCGGGGACCCGTGTGGCCCTCTCTCTCCCTCACTCTTACCTCACAGGACAGGACAAGGACGGCGGCAGCGAAGAATTGACGCACGCAGCTGGGGGAACAGGCGGGACGACGACGACATCGGGGAGGGGCTGGCGGCAGAAGAAGGAACAAAACGGGGCCAGTTATGCGGGAATAGATGGGCCATGTTCTTGTTCTGGATTGATGAGAAGCACTTTTTTTTACTGGATATGCCGGGCTGGAAGGGATGTCAAATCACGGAGGTACATCTGAATGTGTAGGAAACGCACATGTCAATGTATGTCAATAGATTTTCCTTCTACGCCCCTATTGGAAGGGGTCAGCGGTCCATGACGTCTGGCGCGGGATGGGACGTGGCGAATTCAGAGTTTTGATTCTGGCAGTGATATTTTCGTCTTGCTGCTTTTCTTTCTGAGAGGGCTGTGTACACTCCTTACCCGATGCAGCGGCCGGGTAAAGTTGAGTGACGGGCCACTGACGGCGATGCGTGAGGCATGCTGACAAAGAGGAAAGGGGCCCAGCTTTCCGTCGATCGGGGGGGGTAGAACAGGGATGATGCAGGAGGAGAAAGAGGGAGGCCCGCTGAATGAAACCATTGCACGGTAGCAGGTAAGACGTCAATGGCGGGCGCTTAGGTACTGGGTACGGAAGACTCCCAGCTGAGTGGATGCATGTCCAAGAACGAAGCGTGTGCAGCGGCCAGAGGGGCGTGATTCATGTGTGTGTGCCCTGTCCTGCCAGCCACCCTTTGCATATCGTCATGCAGAAAGGTTGTATGTAGGCTGCCCACCTGTGGGTGGATGTGGCATGTACATATGTATGTATTGTGTATGTACGCACACGGGACGGGCGAGACGAGAGACAGTGGATGACCCTCTCGTCTGTCAATTTAGCAAGGGAGGGACGGTTACTGTAGCCCGAGTGCCGGAGGCGTCCCCCACAGCACATGGTAGGATAACACGAGACGAGAGGCGTAAGAAGTGAATGTCTGCATACGGGATTCTTTCGTGTGGAGAGTTTCTTGTCAATCCTGGCCGGAAGGGTCTGTACCGTCACCGTTGGGTACGGATAGGCAGATGAGTCTTACTGGTCTGTACAGAAAAAGTATCGGGTTCCATTCCAAAAAGCGAGACGCACGCGTGCGGTACATGAAAATACATTTTGAATGCATCAGTGTGCCTTTGTCTTGTATCAAGGTTGGATACGACGCTGTATAGGGTAGGACACATGGCGGCCGATGCAAACGTCCGCGTGGCTGTCCACGATGTGTCATGCCCGGAGGCGAGCCTCAATGCTTCCCATGTCACGGGGCCAACTGCCCGGATGGAACGCTGCCAGTACAGTAGTGGCCAGTCTTGGAGGGAGTCTAGGCACGAGAAAAAAAATCTCTGCAAGCCTCTGCTGCCTAATAGTCAGCGTCTTGGTACCGATCTACAGGCAGTAGGCAGCAAGCTACTGTGCGCCCTCAGGAGCGCCAATTCG